TTGGAAAGGTCCACAATACCAGAAAGCACACAGGCCTCCTTTCTCAGTGAGGCGGGGAGGGCACTGTGGGCAGGGGCCTCTGCCTATTTCTACTCACTTGTTCCATTTTGTATTGTGTTGCTGTGTAATTACAGAAATGTTGGAAATGGTCTAAAAGCATAATTAAATGTCTCTTGACTAGAGAGAGTAGGAAATAGGAAGATAGAAAGCTAGAATAGGGTGTAAGTGATTAGAAAGCTTAGCTGTGAGGATGGCTATGGGAGGTTATATGTTCATTGTCAAAGCTCTCTCTGTGGCTTGCTGGCAAGGGCAACATTTCTTTAAGAAATATTTTTTAAAGAATGTTTTGGAATTGTTTAACGTCTACTGAGGCTTGTATCATGGACTACTTTATTGAATATTTCCCAAATCATTCATCATTTCCTTGTAACAGAAGAGGAATCTGAGGTTCAGGGTGTTACTGGGCCAGCCTGAGATCCTAGAACTCATGATAGGTTGTTGAGTCTGAGTGTCTGGTCCTGTAACCTTTACTTCTTGGTGTGCCAGAAAAGCCACCTCAAAACACCTCCAAGACTAAAGTAGGCAATGTAAACAAGAGAACTTGAGAGCAAAGAAACTGATAAAAACAACTGCATTTATTTGGATTCAGTGTTGAGAAAACAGGAGGTATTTTGGGGGACTATAGCAAAAATAAAGAAATGCAGAAATCACCAGTAAACAGTTGCTACTTAGAACTAGTTGAGTGTCACCTTTCAGAAATCAGACCCAGTTGTCAGATCTGCTGATTTTTTAGTAGAAACTGGAAGTCAGATTTTTATATCAACTCTCCTGTTTGTTTGAACTTTACCTCAGAAAAAGTTATTTTTAACATTTGTTTATTTATTGGTATAGATTAGGTATATATAATGACTACATTCATTATAAGGAATTTTATCTGTACATAATACATACGTATCTGTCTTTCTTTCCTCATTATTATTATTATTATTATTATTATTATTATTATTTTGCCATTCTCATCCATCTTTTTCAAGCCCCTTCCCCTTTAGCTTGGTTTTCATTTTATCCTACTTTTCTCATTTTTTTCTTTCCCTTCCTCTCTTCCCTTCCAGCTCCCTATTTCCCTTTTACTTTTGAACAGCTGCTTCCTGTTTCACAATATCTATTGTATATTATATTGTATTTACATTTTCCGTTTCTTACACCAGAGAAATAATGCAATATTTACATATATGTCTGATTTATTTCACTTATGATTATGATCCCAAGGTCCATCCATTTAGCTACAAATGTCTCAAGTTTTTCTTTCTTTGTAGCTGAGTAATACTCCATTATATAAAAAAAATCATGTCTTTTTCATCCATTCATTAGTTGATAGACATTTGGGTTGCTTCCAATATTTAGCTATTACAAACAGAACCACTATATACATGGGTGCACATATATGGCTGTGATATGGTGCTTTTAATTCTTCTGAGAAGATACCCAGAAGTGGAATAGTGGGTGGAATGGGAACACTAACCCTAGTTTTTTGAGGAACTGCCACATTGACTTCAATAGTGGTTGCACCAGCCTACACTCTCACCAACAATGGAAAAGGATTCCTTTTTCCACAACCCTTCCAGGATTTGTTATTGGTTGATAATAGCCATTCCTTCTGGGATGGATGTAATCTCAGCGTTGTTTCAGTTTGCATCTCTTGAGTGACTTGTGATGCTGAACATTTTTTCATATATTTGTTTGCCATTGATACTTGTACTTCTGAGAAATTTTTATTCATATCAGATGCCCATATTTGGACTGGGTCATTGAATATGAATAATCTGATTTTTTCAGTTTTTTATATATTCTAGATATTAGTTCTTTATCTCAAGAACAGCTGGCCTAAATTTTTCCCATTCTATGGGTTGTCTTTTCACTCCATTGGTGATTTCTTTTGCTGTGCAAAAAGTTTTAATAAGATAAGATCCCAGTTGTTGATTCTATATGATAATTCCTGTGCAGTTGAGGTTTTGTTCATAAGGTCTTTGCTTATGTCTATGAAAGTTTTAGCTATCCTATCTTCCAATAGATTTAGTGTTTCTGTTTTGATATTTAGATCTTTAATCAATTTCAATTTTAGTTTAGTGAATGGTGATAGATATGGGTTTAGTTTTATCTTTGCCATGTAGAAAACCAGTTTTTCCAGTACCATTTATTAAAGAATCTATCCTTCTTGCAGTAAATATATCTAGTCCCTTTGTCAAATATCAGGTGACAATGTGTTTAGAGTTGTTTCTACAGCTCAGAAAAGTTTTAACCTTAGCTAAAATATCAGTCAACTGTTACCCACAAACTAAGTTCAGCTCACCTACTACCAGAGATAAATTCAACTTTATCTAAATCAAAACCAAATCATTAATTGTATCATAGTGAGGGCCACAGTAATCTTTTGTTCAGTACTTTCATTTGTGGACAAATTTTTATGCCACCAATATTAATTGAAATTATAAATATTAACCTTTGTGACAGTGTTGAGACAGTAATTCTATTTTCTATATGTTAATGCATAGAAAGAACATGCATGTTTGCATACCAAGATTGGAATTCAATTCCACTAGTTGGGAATTCTGTAACCTTAAACAAGTAATTCAGCGTCTCTAAGAACTCAGTTTCTAGTCTGTGGCTTTACCGTGCTGAACACGCTGGATCGGATCTCCTCACAAAAGTTTCTTCATCAGCAAAATGACAACATTACCACGTGAATTAAAACAGATAAAATGTAAATGAGAAATTATAAGACACATACCCTTTCAGTGGGAGCTTGATCAAAGCCTCTGACAGTCCCCTACCTCCACTCTTCTCTTGTTTGGATAACCTTATAGAATCTTGTTGGTTTTTTCACAGAATTAATACCAAACAGAAACTGGGACTCCTAATTTTGTCTGCAACAGGTTTTTCTGCTAGATTTCTTTGCTGCCATGTCACACATTTACTGGGTATGTTGCTTTGTCAAGATCTGAAAGTGTACAGTAGGTTCTGAACTTTGCCCTGCTACAGACATTTCACTAGTTGAAAAGCAGACGGAAATCCAGATCTCCTTCAACCCCTCCTCTTCCTGCCCCATTACCTAAATTCAGCATGTTCCTTCCCACAGTAAACATCAATTGTGATGAAAAGTAGCTGATCTGGGTTTAGGTTAATTTAGTTTTATTTGAGGTTAAGAGAATCCCATGGCAATGAAAAATCAATACTATATTTGACCACAAAGACATTATTAAAGCACCAAGATTAAATGGAACATAAATAATAGTTCATTGATTTTTTTAATCCAACTTTTTGTAATTTAGTATATAAAAATCACGATTATTCTCTCTCACCAAGCCCTTGACTTGGCTGAGTTTATTCTATAGCATTTACTGTGAATTTATGTTTCATTATTTCATTGTATTTGTTCTGTTTCTCTTTCAGACCTATGTTAGAAAAAAGATTTATAAATCCCTTTCTTCTCTTATTTTACTCTCTGGATCCTAATTGAATGTTTTATTTTAACAATCTTTTAACATCCTGCAAGGGCTGCAAAGGCATTCAAAACACTGACTTTTGCTAAAAGATGGCATTTTTCAGTATGAGTAAATATGATAGTACTCTTACTTTAAAAACTGGTCATGGTGATTATACCAACTTCTGACTCTGAGACTACCCAATGCTTAAGCATCGTATTATTCAAAAATTTCCAATTCTAGGCCAAATAAGACTCAGATAAGTTCCTGTAAATGACAGTAACATGCTAAAATTCACAGCTGCTACCCTCAATCTCAGATCAGATTCAGCAACACAAAATGAACCTGCACAATGATTCTCAGTTCCTGAGTGCATTCAGTTTTGAATGCACTTCCATAAACACAGAGGATGCGGAGGCCATTATAAAGGAAGTGACCATTATGCCACTTACTAAGAGCCATGGGATGAAAAGCAGTACGAATAAGTCTCCCCTCCCCAGACAATTCCAAAATAGCTGATCATGTCAGGTCCCATATGTAAAGATGTGATTGCAAAGCTGACTTTGTGCAGATAGTGTTGATTTGGGGCAGAGAGAGATCAAATAATACTAAAATAATGCAAGAATGAGGAATACATGCAGATGTACATATTCAGCGGGCCACTTGTTAAGCTGGGCCTGAACCAATGAATACAAGTAGGTCATTGAAAGTCACTGCAAACCAGGGCAGCTCCCCAGGCAGGAAACATTAACCTGCAGGAGGAATCTTGCAGACAAGTAATACATTTTAGCCTAGCAACTATATATTTTATTTATGGGTTGATATAATCACAGAGATAGAGAGAGAGAGGACTGCATATAATATGCATGCTTGAGCATACTCCAGAATACAGACAAGGAGAGAAAATTATACCTACACATTCTCTAATTTAAGCCCCACCACCCTCCAAGTAAAAGAGAAGTCAGAGCTGTCTAGTTACGGTTCTAGAGCCCCAGTGTAAATAGTTTCTTCTCTTAAGCAACCCCAGGTTCCTGCATCAGTTAACACTACCTGCTCAGCAGCCAGAGCAGGATCATTCAAGGCACAGAAAAATAGGAGGACTTATGTATGCTATCTGGCCCCGAGTCTTGCATTTTGGAAGTAAACATGAAAGGGCAGAGTTTTTTTGCTATTCATCTGCTCAAGTGTGAGCCAATCTTAGGAGGAAAATGTTAAAGACACAGAATATGAATATATCAAGATCATCAAATCCACATGCCTCATTTTACAGTTCCAACATTTTCCTGACTACATGAGCTGCCACTCCGCCTCACTTCTCTGAGGACAGAAGGGTTTTAATCTGCAGCAAACATCTAAAGCAAACGCCACTTGATGAGGCTAAGTCATCAGATTTAGCACTTTGGTGAGCAGAGATGGACAGCAAATCCTGTGGGAGTGGACACTGCAAAAGTGGAGTGGAACAAGGAGGGAGTCACTCAAAGGTAGGATGACAGGGTGCAATGGAGGCACTTCACCTACCTCACTGTTCCCTGAGTCACCATCAGGCAAGCCAGAATCCTCCCTGTTCCTCAGTCCTTTGCACTGCTGGCCTTACAGTTATGTGCAGAGTTATGTGACTTTTCCTAACCCTGAGATCTTCTGTCCTCAGTTGAATGCATGACATTATATTCCACATGAAACAAACATGTTTTTGAATGTCAGTTGTATGCCAGGTCATGAAGTAGGTACTGGAAGGAGATTAAAAAAGAAAAAAAAATACAGCCCTGTTTTTGAAAGATACAAAGATTTCGTTTTCAACTACCCAGGCAGTGATAGCAAACAAACAGCCTGCTGTAGTGTGCGTGCCATAGGTTTGCCACCACTGACCTAGCAGTTGGTACCTGAACAACATGGAAAAACACTAATTCTCAAAGTAGGTTCCATGGAACATGAAGTCTGGCAGATTGGGAAGGTGCAAGGAATAGGTGCCTTTAAATATATTACTTACTCTATGCTGTTTAGAAAGACCTTACAATGAAGAAATATGCTTAGTCCATGCCTTATTTGGGCCCAGTATCCATCTGTCACGTACCTTACATCTGTTACCTTAAGTGCTACCATACAACCCACTTTGGGAGCTTCCCTCTGCATGATTTCAGCCAGGTGTCTGGAAGCCAGAAGTGGGGGAGTGTTACATCAAGGCAATCTGGCTCATCCCTTCTCTGTGCTGTGTGTGATGGCTGAGGGCTCCATCAAAGAGGAAGAAAAACCTGTTAGCAATGACTAAAGACACATTGTTTCATATCCGAACCTGGAGTCTGGGATCATAGCATCAGATTCCTGTTTGTTTCTGCCACATTCATCCTTTGGCTCATTTATCTAACGAATGTGCATTGAGTACCTGTTATGGAAGTAACTGCATTAAAACAGATTACACCCTGTCATCAAGAAACTTGCAGTCTTCCAAGTAGAGCAGGGAAAGTCTAGGTAGTTGCTCATAGTACAAAGAGTTTTAAATACCAATATTAAGGGACCATAACTCTGGTTTTCCAACACAGTTACATTTTATACCCATTGTCCTGTATAATATGTACAAGTGACCCCTTTCTCCCTTTTAAGTGTCCTACTTTTGACAGCACATTTCATAGTCCCTCTGGTTACAATATGTGCAAGTATTAGAGGATCAGAGGAAAAAAGTTCAAGAAAAGCTTCTCAGAGGATTTGATATTTCAACTGAGTTCTGGTAGCCAGAAATAGTAATAGAGTCTGTATGGAGGTAGAAGAAATAGCAAGTGAAGAGAATGAATGAAAGGCAAGTTTCAGCAATATGTTTACTTTGGACAAGAGAGGTCTCAAAGACCAGTTGCATAAGGGTAAGCAGTTGAGAATCCTGTCTTCTAAGAGCCTTGAGAAGACTGTCATGGGATTATAAGCAGAGAAGTCACATGTTGTTATCAGCTTTGCAGACGAACTTTTCTGACAGTGAGCTGAGCCAATCAATGGAGCCACTAGTCCAAGGAGAACATTATAGTATCTGCCCCAGGGGTGGGAGGGCTAGTATCTAGGTGGCAGCAGTAGCTGTGTATTGGACAGAATGGAGGAGTTGGTGGATGGATGGATGGATAGACGGATGGATGATGGACAGACAGACACATGGGTGAAAAGATGGATGGAGAGCCCCCTGGAAGGTGAAACAGACAGATTTTGTAATTAACTGGCTATGATGGGGCAGAGAAAAGAAAGAATTAAAAGTCAGGCCCATGTTTGAGCATGCAAGCAAATAACAACTTTCAATGCGACAGGAAGTACAGAGGTTGAAAGAGGCCTGGGGAAAGGGAACTGCAGCTTGGGACAGAATCAGTGAGAAGGGATTTTGCTGTGTCTCTGAGAGTTCACAGGCTTTTGCAGAGCTTCCGTGTTGAAAGAATAAAGACAAAAGGACAATTTAAAAAAATGATTCAGAAGAATTCTTGAAACTGAATGAAACAAAAAGCCAAGTCAAAGTGTACCAGAGCAATCTTGTTACTGGCACAGTGAATCACTGGCTACCATTGTTTAGAGGCAGTGAATTCAGCCTCCAACACCAAGCTGCTCTGTTCAGCATCACAACAGAGTGGGTATAGACAAGGGCCCTATATACAACCTTCCCACTACCCTGAGCATGAGCCCTTGGCATCCACCAACAGCCCAGCCAAAGACCTCCAGGTATCATGTGATGTCAGTCACTCCTGAGGCAGAGGAGGGTTTGAAATCTAGTGGTGGAAGCCATCAACCCCTGGAGTCATCCACCAGCCATATCCAGCCATATCACTTGCCACTACCTCCCTGAGTACCAAATATCCCTGGATCCATTGAACCCATGGGGAAGGTCCTGGGTAATGGGTTTTGTTTTGTTTTTCATCAGAGGAGATCAGTTAATTTATCACAGTAACCACTGAATCTTCCAAGTCTAATTGATGATTGTCCCATCATTCTCAGCTTTAGGTTCTGGGCTTCAGAGTGTACCTACATTATTCACCTTGGTCAAAGCCTAAAAAATTAAAGAGACCACATATCTGTAGGGATCCTACACTTTCTATGTAAAGATGAGAAAATCACTTTGTGAAATTTCTTCATCAGTTGGGCTCTGTGAGGTAGATAGTGCCAGAGCAGAGGATGTCCTGTCTATAGCAATCATGAAACTATCTCACCTAAAACTAACAGGGTCAGTGACTAGAGTCCAATGCCTAGTCCAATGCCTAGAATCTGAGCTATGTGGGTCAGTGAACAGAGTCCAATGCCTAGAATCTGAGCTATGTGGAGATGTGTTATTTGCCCTATCAAGGCTACCTTTTGTAGTCCAGAGGGCCAATATTTGCATATGAAGCAAAATTTTCTTTCATAATTTGAGTTCCAAATTCAAGGTGAATCTTTTAAAGAAAATTTAGAAGACCTCTTGGTCCTGAAAATGTAAACAGAACCTGAACAATATATTTACTTTTTACTTAGCAGTCTCCAGAAACCTGTGGGCATTTGGACTTTATAAAGTGTGATGTGTTCTTTGGTTTTTGCTATAATGGGAGTCCAAGCTTAGCTCTTTTTTCCTATGCTCTTTCTGTGTATAGCTGGAATTACAATCATCATAATCAAGCATTTGAGCAAACAAAAATAATCATTTGAAAGCTATTTTCCATAAGCTCTTTAGTTCCCAATTCACTACAATTCTGTTCAGAAGGAAATGTTCCATTTTTGCCTATTGTACAACTGTCAGCAGTAGGAGCAATGACCAGTTCTCTACATATAAAATTAATTCCATTTCAGCTTTTCTGAATAAAAACAAATCAATCAAAATCTCAAGGTTCTTATTCCAGGAAGACACTTATTTGGTATAAACCAGAATCTACTGCAGAACACCAATGCAACTAACCAGCTGGTATAACTTGGAGCCCTTCTTGAAAAATCGCATAGTTTAACTCTGGAAAATTTTTTAATCTTTAAAGTACTCTTTGGAGTCCATTTTAGGTGAACACTTCCGTTAACTCAGGCCATTCCTAATTAGAGTGCAAAGGTCTTTATTTACAATGATTCTGTAAACCTACTCACTGTTATTCTATTACCACTGAAGAACAATTGCTGAGCAGAAAATGGGAAAATGACTTACGGCCTGCCTGAAGAGCAGTGCTGGGAATTTTTCTGAACCCTAAGGAAATAGTTATACCGTCAGGTTCCTCATTGTGTGAACAAAAACACAAAATTTGCAAGGATAACTCAGAACAACAGGCAATCTGCTCTAGGTTATCATTTCGACCTCAGTAACCTGTGAATCACAAAAATGAGACATACACCAAAAAAATTCACAAAATACATATACAGTGGCAGTTCTGGAAGAAAAGCTCCAGAGTATATGGAAGAGATAAAAGAATTTTGTTTTTCCCTTCTGTTTATAGCACCCTTTCATGTCTCCCTGTATCAAGCTATTATCTGAGTAAATAAATCAGAATTTATTTTACTAGAATGCTTCTAAATTGCTGGGCATTTTTTGAGTCTCCTTTGCTTTCCAACAATTATCTCCCATTTCACACCAGCCCAAGTACTAAGACAGAGATGATCCTGAGACATGGGGAAATTTGCTGATGCATACCTCATGAGATCCAGAAATAGGAGAGCCTCATTTTGCATTAAGATGTCTAATGGTGTGGGCTATGATGTCCTAAAGGTCACTTATATGGCACCAGCTTCACAGTCTGCCAGACATTCAGAAGTATTCTTCCAAAGAGTCCAGAATTAATCTGAGTTATTGCTTCCAGGGGAGACACCAGAGGATGCCATGTTGACTATCATCTGCAATCACCGAGATCGTCTGTGATTATTTTTCAGATACATTTAGATCCAGAACTATGTCCCAGAACTGAAAAGCAGCAGTGGGAAAATAAATATCACTCCATAGCATCAAACAAAGGCAGCTCTAGCCTGCGTAAGGATACTGTAAATCCCCAACTGACCTAAGGGGGGATAGGAGGGATGTCACCAGACAGGAAACACCAGTAATCTGTGGGGCCCTGGGCACTTCTCATACTGAGAATGCCTCAGACACAAATGTCAAATTTCAAAAAGCCAGATTTACGGTAAGAGCTCTAAATAGTAACGGGCTTCCATGGTCTTTCAGAAGCTAACTGAAGAAGCCCTGAACAGCTTGCTTGGCGTGCTCCAAAATCTCAGCAATGTCACAGAGCCTCTGTGTCCACCAGTCTATGTGATGGGCCCAGGACCTCACCACAGCTCTCAGGCAAGTGCTGGAGCATTGACTGAGCCTTGTCTACCTCTTCCTACCCCACCACCACCACCACCGCCTCTGCTGCACAGACACTCTACTTCGAAAGCACTCTTAAAATCAGCAACAGAAAGAAAGGAGCTCACTTAGAAGAAAATAATAACAACTAACATTCAGTCAGCAGATGGCATATGGAATATGAAAATTCTCTAGCTTCTAAAATCATCAGTTTTTGAGTGACCTTGACCTCTTTTTTGCTGGTTGAAAGAGAATAGGTCTTTCAGCTCTGGGTGCACGATTAACTCTGAAATCCCAGCTGCTCTTGGGTTCTGACTATAAATCGTGTCTTATATTTCCTCAGTTGTTTAGTTCCTAAAATGCTCAAAGCACCAGGTTAGGAATAAAACCTTAAAACTGTAATAGAGAGAAAGAAAGGAGATGAGAGAGTCCGGTTCCTCTTGCAGGGTCCTTACCTTCTCTTCTTTGTCCTCTGGCTCTAGGGTCAGATAAGGCAAAAATATTAAAACTCCCTTCTTCGCAAATAGAAGTCTCCTGTACATTCCACCTCCTCCATCATGGAAAGTCTTCTCATGCTAAATCATGGTTGATCCTGATCCCAACACAACACCCAGAACCATGTCACAAGCTCCCAGTTTACTTTCACCTGCTGGTTGATAGATTTAGATGTGAGTGATGCCGCAGGGAACAACCCAAAGTGATGAGAGGCCCCTCTAGTGACCATTTCTAAGTCGAAGGAAAGGATCACGCTGTAGAGCGATTGCCTGGAAAGCTGGTCTGTGAATAGGAGCCTGAGTTCACATCCTGAACCTCCACTTCCGAGCTACGTAGCCACAGACTGGCTGATATGCCTCCCATGCCGCCACTGCCTCACCCTTAAATGGGGATTACAATCAAGCTATGTCCTAGAATTTAAGGAGATAATTCATGTAAAATGCTTAGCACAGGGTTCCCCACACACTTCATGTTTAATAAATGCTACACGCCCTTAATGTTCAATTCTGAGCTAAATGGTCAGACAAGCATGAGCTGGCTGCTTTTGTTGCTAACTTAAATCAGAAGCTGAATGATACTGCAGAGAACTGGGCTACAAGAATAGCAGGAAGCTGATTTATTGCATGGAAGGGCTGCTGATATCAGCCTTATTCATGGTTAACCAACAGGAACCTCAAAGATATTTGAAACTTTATGTAGATCCAAAGGAATCAGCTGTCTGCATCATGCATCGTGTCAGCAGAAAGCTTTGCTGAGCCTGGCACATGCCATAAATGATCCAAGAGGAGCACTGGCTCAGGAGCCAAGACCCTCCCACTATGCAGAGTTGCCCTACAGGTATCAAAGTGTGTTTTTTAAAGAAATATTTAAATAGGGATTATTTAGACACCAAAGTCCTATTAATTCAAGGTGGAGATCTCATAAGATCCAGTTTTCCTTCCCAATTCTTACTTACTTCCCCATACACCAGGTTGAGCCAGAAACATCCACAGTGTGATCACATTTCTGAGCAATGGCCAATGCTTCCTCCCCTTGACCACTGCTGAGTAGTAAAGGGACATAAATCAGGGGAAATCTCCATCCTTCTGGAATAATCTTTGGGAATTCTACTGAAGGTCACAATCAACTCAGCCTTCCAATTCCTGAGGTGCCTTCAAGCTGGGTTTTAAAAACAGGCCAAGAGCTAAATCCCACTGAAATTTCTGGAGCTAGCATTACATGAATCTTCTTTCCCAGAACTCCTAGCTGCAGTTGGATATTAACAAGGAGAAAAGAACAATTATCATTTGGGACTCCAAGTGCCACTTTGTGTCACTTTAAAGAACAAATAGACTTCCAGCTCCCCTCAGCTGTCTACTCACAATTACAAAGCAATGGTAAATAATCATGGCAAGTGGAAGGTTTGATTTAGGAGAGTGAAATTGTGTAATGATTCAGGGCTTCCTCTTCCTTTTCTGTGGCAACACAAGCAGGACAGCTCCTTCTCCTTCTTGATTTGGCTTGAATCCAGATCCAAACCTTGCAATAAAAGGTCAAAGAACTGTTTATTAAAGTGAACACAAAAACCCCCAAAACAACCCCCCAGAATGATTCTTATTATTTTTACAAGACAGTAATACTCATATCATGAGTCATGGTTTAGTTTTTTTCCCTAGTCATTTTATTTAGGCAAAGGTTAGTATTTGTTCACACCAACAGAAGTTTTGAGTGCTTTAGAAGGAAGTGCCCCTTCTTATTTCCTCAGCACACTGGTGTCCTGTGGCCCTCTGAGTTCTATCCCTGAGAAGATGTGGTGACCACTGGGTGCACAGGAGGCAGGACTTTCTCTCCCTTCACACCTGTAATTCACTTAGCTGGAGGGGCAGGTTCCATACACTCTGAAACGGGCCTAGACTCCAAGCAGTGGAGACTTTGATCTTGGCTTTAAAACATCTTATCCAAACACACATTCATTTAATCTTGCAATTCCGGAGTGAAGGAGTTTTCCAAAGTGGCTTGGGAGGACTAAGGAACAAGGCTGCTGCTTTGCGGGAGCCGCACAGGTGTGCCTGAGGAGCCAGTTATCTGGGATACCCAGTCTCAGGGGAAAGGCTTCGCCTGGCCGGCGATGCAAGGCCTGCAGGGTGCAGGGGTGCCGGGGTTTTGTATATAGCTCCAGGTAAGGGCAGATGAAAACCGTGTAGGGAAATCCTGACAGGCTGACATCCATGGCTCCTGTATGTCCCACCTTCCCTTCAGGTCACCAGTCACACCCTGCTCACCTCTAACGCCCCAACCAGTGTTATTTCTCGTAACTTGATTACTTACCAAGGAAATCCAAAAGAAGGGGCAAGTTTCAGGTAACAACCTTTTCCCAAAGAACTTGCCTATTGACAGAAAGCCCTAAATCCCTTTCAAGTAAATTCACTTCAACAAACATCGTGTGAAAGGACTTATTTCTAAGCACTGTGGACACAGAGAAATGCAACAGCATTGCTCCCTCAAGGAACTCACAGTCAAATAGGAGAGGAGAGACACTGTCAAATGACTGTGATATATAACCAAAAAGATCTGAGTAAAGACTTGTAGGAACCCTAGTGAAGAAATTCTCTAGTTGAGGTAACAAAGAAGAAGAGCTGTTTGAATTGGGCCATGTATCTATTAGGATGATTCTAGCCACATACGGCACAAAAATCCAAATAACTATGAATTGATTAAAATAGAAATATTTAGTCTGCGTAAAAGTCTGGTACCAGATACTGTTGACTGATAATCAAACTCTGTGATGTAATCAATATCCCCACAGCCTTATCTTTCTTTTTTGTCAACTTTATTAAAATATAGCTTCTACAATCCATTTTACCTCTTAAACTCAAAATGGCTGCTGGAATTCAAGACAGCTCATTCAAGCTCCAGGCAGGCAAACAGAAAGGACAACATTGATATTCCCTTTAAGAGCTAGAAATTCTACCTAACAACTTTCATTTCACTTATCACTCAATCTGCTGAAGAGATAGAACACCTTACTGGGTTAGGGCTTTTATTAGAAGAAGGAAAGGAAGACTAGATACTGTGTAGGTAAATAGAAGTCTGTCCCACAAGTTTCAAAGAATAAATGGGTCACCTCACCCTGATGAGAAAGCAGTACCTGGCACACACCCCAAAGGGGACCCTGAAAATTCTCTCCATCAGGGAGAATGGAGCATTTTATAACTTGTATTTCAGAAGGAATGAGAAGATGCCTGGTGAAGCCTGCAGGTTATGACAGGGCTACGGAGGTAACCCAAACGCCACTTCCCACTCCATCCTGAGTACAGCCATGCCGTACGGTGCCCCCACCCACTCCAGCCACTTCAGATGCTGCTGCTGGAATTTTAGCCACTCCAGAGTGGCTAAGATCATGAAGGGAGGGATCTGGGCCCCTTGTTTCCACCCCCAGCATTCACAGCAAACCTTCCAGAAGATTCCCTGGTTTCAGCTCTCACCTTCACTGAAATAGGCCTGCAAGCTGCCACATAGCAGCCCTCCTCAGCCACTTCAGAGGTTTTAGTCAAAGAGGGCTCCATTCTGGGTACTGGCCCCTCTCTGCTGCAGTACAGGCTCTGTTAAAACACAGACTTGCTTTGGTGACCCTGTGAAAAGGGAAGGGAACTTGCCAGAAAGAAAGGAAGGAAGGACATGAAGGAGAGGTGTGGAAAGATAAAAGTCTGTAAAGTTTCTGGGGGTCTGAAGAACGGTCATCTCAACCTTGTCCTAGGTAAGTAGGTTTCCTAGTCAGTGGTTTTGCCATCCATAGGAATTCTTTCACTTGGGTGGAATATACGTAGCCCTCCAAGATGAAAAAGCCAGAGGAAGACAGCTCTGGTTCAAGATGCAGACAGAACACGGTACTATAAGAGTTACAACACAAGACTGAGTCACAAGCCCTGGGACAATGGTAGATAAAACACCAGTAGAACTGGCCCAGGAGTTACAGAAGAACTGTATCTGAGGGGATTTAGGGCTTCCAGGTGCCAAAGTAATAAAAACATTTTTTAAAAGGCTGTTCAAGTGGAAAGAACAGCACATGTAAGAGACACAGTGAAACAAAACATACATGGAAATCAGATTTGGCTTCATTTATCACAAACTGAGACTTGTGAACGAGTGGGGCGTAAGGCTAGAAGGCGGGTGGGGTGGCGGGGGAAGGGAGTACCTCACAAGGACACAGCCAAGATAGAGGCCCCGGGGCTCATCGCTGGACAGTACAGTCACAGCAGCCGCGCCTCTGTGTGCCTGCTTCTTTTCATAGTCAGCAAGGTCCACTTGTAATCTGTGGCTCCATCTAAAGTGGCTGGAGTGGGCGAGGGCACCGTATGGCATGGCTGTACTCAGGATAGAGTGGGAAATGGGGTTCTCAATGCACACAGGCCTATTGTTAAGGTGCAGGATACCTAAGTCCCAAGTTGGGATCCGTATAGACGGAAACAGAAGGATCGGATAGAGTAAGTCCACTGGTCCATTTTGTAACTGGACCCTGGTGCTTCCTCTGGTAAAGAAAGTGAAAGAAAATTCACCCTGGTCACAAAACCTGTGCTCCTCAAGTTGTTTGATCCCAGAGAGTTAGGGCTGGAGGGAAAACCATGCAGTATGTGCTCTCCCTCCACCAGCAGCTCTCTGTCTCCACTTGGAGCTGTGGATCTCACAGCTGCTTTGAAGAAATGATTTTATGTGATGACCTTTAATGAGTCATTTCAAAAACCCCCCATTTTAATATGAAGTAGAAAAGAATTCTAATCAGGTTGAGCATACCTAACCTGAAAATCCAAAATTCAAAATGCTTTAATTTTGAAATTTTTGGACCACCAACACTATGCCACAAGTGGAAATTTTCACATCTGACCTCACAGAATGGCTCACAGTCAGAACTCAGATTCACTCATGCTGTTGGATAAGATTCCTATGAAACATAAATGCATTTTGTGTTTAGGCTTATATCTATCATCTCACTAAGTTGTATATAAATACTATATATAAAAAGTTTTAAAAACATAAAAATCTAAAATACCCCAGTTCTGAGCCTTTCAGAAGAGAAATAGTCTATCTTAGTCAGAATAGGGCAGACTACACTAAGATAACACTAAGATAACAAATATTCCCACAACCCCAGTGCTCACCAGGTGGAGTTGTAGTCCCCTCTTACATAAAGGCTGTCAAGGACATGGGAGACTTCCTAGAGGAGCTGTGCTCCTCATGGTAACGCAGATGTGCCTGACATGACCTGCATCTCCACTGTTTCAGCCCCACGCCTTCTTGGTCACTGTGGGGAAACAAGCAGCTGCTTTTCACCTGCTGGCCTCTTGTGTTTCCATGAAGAAGTGATGCTAGTCACTCCTGACCTTAGCACATTGGCCAGAATTAGTCTCCTCACCTCATCTACCTCAACATTGCCAACGCACCTGCCCCAGGCACCTAAAAAAGGAAGAGATTTCAACACTGGTAAACATTAGCCAGCCATGTCCACAGCAAACAGAATAAAAGACAGAGGGAACAGAACAGAATGAAACAGAATGGAACAGGACAGGACAGAACAGGATGGAACAGAACGGAATAGAATGGAACAGAACAAAATAGTTCCAAGTGCATCACAGAGGTAATTTTAGTTTTACTTATATTTGGTTAGGGAGATATTGAGTCATATACTGAGTAACATGTAAAATGTATCTGTAGGTTGGGGCTGGAGATGAAAAAATACTTTGAAATTGACTGCATCTGAGAGAAACAAAATGTGCCTGGAGAGAAGATACTATTTATGACATATGGCCCTGTAACAACAAAGGATTCTCCTTTGTGTGTCCTCAGAGAAAATAGAGTGTCTAATATTCCCGGAACAATTTTCATTCCATACTCAAAAATAACCTCTTGTCACCTGTAACAAATTCAGTGAGTTACAGTCAACACTGCTGGCGTGTGTGTGTGTGTGTGTGTGTGTGTGTGTGTGTGTGTGTAAACTTTGTCTTCCTCAAAGATCAGTAGGGCAGGCATCCTAGTGAGAAGTTCACTGAAGGAACAGGTCCTGAAGAGGATGTGCCCATAAAATGTGGGAAATTTAGAAAGTTGCCTCAAAGACAACTAGGGCCCTAAGAAACAAACATGAGGACGAGAAAGCACTGCTCTAAGGTGACATTAAGAACCTGAGGCCCCGTATGAGACCCTCCACTTCTAAGCAAGAAGCGTAGTCATTCCTAGGTGAGAACCTTCATGCTGTAAGTGCTTCATTGAAATCCTGTTACGAAACCATGACTGCAGTAATTAGTGAGCAGGGCCTCCCTGCAGACCTCATGGGGAAGAAAAGAAAAGCAGGAACCTTCAGGGAAAAACTTTGCAATAACTTTTTCAGGACTCCAGCAGCCAGCACAAGAAATATTATGAACTCTACAGGGCATGTGGTAAGTGTGACATGAGTAAATGGACTGAAATATATTTCTAATACTCATAACTCCTCAGGAAACACTGAAGGAAAAAACTATAATCCTAGCTAGCATCTACTGAGTGCTTATTATGTGCCCAGAAATGGTGCTAAAATTTATGTCTATTTTTAATATCATTGAATGCTCTTCAGGTCACTATTGTGACTTATTTCCATTTTACAAGGTTCCAAGGGCTCAGGAAATTTGACTGGTCATAGATGAATGTAACAGAGTTATTTTTCACATCGTTTGTCTATCTGTCTTTTTAGCTACTACAAAAAGCATAAATAAACAGAAGACTAGGAATTCTTCCGCTGTAGTAAGGCATTATGAGCTAAAGTGTTTCCCTCCAAGTAAGACATGTCAAAGTCTTAATCCCCAAACCTCAAAATTTAACTTGACTTGGGAATAGGTTAGTTTGTACTCAGCTAAATTCAGATGAGATGACATCATACTGGAATAGGGTGGCCCCTTGTCTAAGATCACTGATTTGTGTATAAGAACGTGGTCATCAAAAAAGAAGAGACATTAAAAGAGGGGATAACACCATACCATACCAGGTGAAAGCAACAGCAAAGTGACGCTTCTACAAGCCCCCAAAAGGCAGAAGAGAGGCTTGGAACATGTTGGTTGTCAGAGCCCTAAGTATGAATCTAGTTGCCAACACCTTGGTCTTGGACTTCTAGCCTTTAGAACCAAGGTAATAAATTCTCTTATTTTAACCCACCTTGTTTGTGGCACTTGGCTATGGCAAACCTAAGAAATGAATGCATGGATAATTACCCTCTCTAAATAATTCCTAAGCCAGATCTAACAATGCATTATGTGTCTCCTCACTAATGAGAACATTAGGCCACAAAGATTTGAAGACTTCTATTCAAATGAAGAAACTGTCACAGCATTCGGGTCCTAGCTGTCAGTGTGTGGTGGCTGGTGTGTTGCTGTGCTCCTCATTCATGATGGCACTGAGGTTAGTTTCCTCAGGGCTCAGAAATCCTGACCCAGGAACCTATGCTGATTCTTATCTTTCCAAAGGTAGACGACAATCTGTTTATGTATCCCCATGGGATCCCTATCCATGCACACATAGAGGACCAAGTGCCTCTCAGCAGCTCACTCTGTACTGGGCATTAAGGGGAAAGGCCACCCTGAGGGTGCTGGATAAGCCTGAGAAGGCATGGGCAATGCTGACAATCTCTGTCTTTTGTTTTGTTTTGTTTTTTGAGTCAGGGTCTTGCTACGTAATTCAGGCTAGTCTTGAACTCACAGTGATCCTCCTACCCTAGCTTTCCAAGTCCTGGACTTACAGGCATGTGTCCTCGCACCTGGCTTGACAATCTCTGTTTTAAATGTGAATTCTGGGCTTGCTGGCTAAGACTCCAACTCCCACCAATCAAGCCTGGCTTGGTGGTGCACATCTATAATCTAAGCACTCTAGGAGGCTGAGACAAGGATTGCAAGTTCAAGTTCAGTCTGGGCAATTCATGGAGGCTACCTCAGAATAAAGCTAGAGATGTAGCTTTGTGTGAAGGTCCTATGTTCAATACCCAGTACCACCAGAAAAAATAAAAGACTATAGACAATTAAATTAAAATTTCCTCCCCAAAACCAGAGTGGAGCAGTGGAACATGGGAACAGAGCCCATAGTTCTTCCCCACCCCTCAAGGAGTGATCTCTATTAACCTATTGTCAAAACCCTTGTGAGCTAAAAGAAAGGCTATGGATCCTGGTGGCCCTTTGGGGGCCCTTTGGGGGTCAGAAGACCCCCAAAACTCACCCCATAAGAGGAGCAGCAGCATCTTCCTCTAGGACTGTTCTCTTACAAAGCAATTTAAGCCAAATGTAACAAGCCATATGGCAAACAGGAATTCATCTGCATCTCATGGGCAGCAAAGATCCCAGAAATTTGTTAATCTTGTCATGTGCCCAAAGAGAAAAGTTTTAAAGACACAATAGCAGGAGAAGAAGCAATAATAGTAAATGAAAGTAAAGTTGTTGCAGTTATTGCACTCCACAGCTCAGTCATGCAACCCTTCAAACTCAGAATCCTCCCGGAAACTTCACACCATTCTGCTCTGGGTCACTGAGGCTACGTTAAAGTGCAGGTTACCAGGCACACCTGAGAGTCCACTTCAAGGCTTCAAGAATGTACATTTTAACAAGCACAACAGAAGTTTCAGATGCAGACAGTCAAGCAGGTAGTCAGCTTGGAGAGTCCCTGGGTTTAGACTTTCTTCTGTATTAACACCCAGGATGTGGATCAGAGAAGCTCTCCAGTTCCTCCAGCCTCATGACTCCAACACTTCCACACACCGAGTTAGCTGCTTACTCTGCAGGTTAGAACTGCCTTCTTTGCTTTAGCCTTTGCAACAAACCCTGCCACTCTTTCTCTGTCCCTGGCTTGTCCGGATCGGAGGTACTAAGTAGAATTAGGTCAGCATTTGATAGGGAGATCTTGTAGCTATCTCTGCTAAAACCAGCTCCCAATACCAATATGATAGTAAGCATACCGCCTTATCAGCCCCCAGTCTGCCCTCATGCTTAAATACTTAATCACTCTGACCAGAGTTTCCGAACAAAGGCCTTTAGAGCAGAATAGATGGGTGTAAGATATCCAGGGACTCACTGGAATGTCATGTGAAAATTTCACAAATGACGAGCATGCTAGCATTTTTTCAGAGGTGTAGTCCACTGCCAAGGAAAGCTAATAATATTGCTCCAGGCATCACGTGACACCTGGCTCACCTAACTATAATATATGCTAATCAATCCTGAGCTTGATCATAGACAAATCTCACCAGCCTAAGAAGCTCACAGAATATAATATAAAAATAGGCCATGTTCCTATTTTTCACTACTAATATGCTAGCATATTCACTACTAATATGCTAGACCATAAAGGTAGAAAATTGAATACAGTTCCTGGAGGATCCTGGGGAAATGGCGGTGGTGTCAATATCATGGTCTTTAAATCTTCCCAAATCTGTATATAAAAATAGGCAGAAAAGTTAGATAACAAAGCCAAAAATCTATAACAAAACTAGCAGCAAGTTTTCTCATAAGCCCCAAATTACAAGAGGTGTAAAACAAACTACCAACAGCACAAGTGTCTGTGCACAAGGAGAGAAGAAAGACTGCGTACTGTCCAGGGATCCTTAAGGACCCACCACCACCGTACTCCCTCGAAAGCATAGTGATTATCACTGTGGCAACAGCAGTATTATTCTTAGACTTTATGTGTGTGGCATAGGAGAAAACAAATGAGTAATTATGAAATATTCTAATTCTATTATTCTTTATGTCCTGGAGAATCAGATCTGTAAGGTGTTCATGAGATGTTACAGTGAAAGCTGATGAAGACGAATCGTACATTTCTCCCAACTCTACATTCAGTGACTTCGTGTTAGTAGCCTGAGATTAGCCATTAATTGGACCATGAAAATTAGAAAATATTACAAGTCTGGTCTTTTTTTCAGAACTGTGAATTAACCAGGGACCCTACCACTATAGGGTTATAGGGAGCTATATCCCTATAACTTTTTAGAGTATTTTTACTTTTTAATTTTGAGAGAAGTTCTCACTAAATTGCTGGGCAATAACTTGAACTTGCAATCCTCCTGCTTCAGCCTCCTTAAGTGCAATATTACAAGTGTCAACCACCATTCCTTGCTCAGTCTTTTTAAAAATTCATTATTAAACATTATCAGCACTTCACTGTATGTAGCAATCCTTGACATCTAGGTTGTAGTTTTTGTTGTTGTTGTTGTTTTGTTTTGTTTTGTTTTTTTTGTCTTTTTCCTTTTTATCGGTACCAGGGATCAAACTCATGACTGCCTGCTTTCAAGGCAGGCACTTATGCCGCTGAGCTAAACCCCCAGCCCCTAGGTTGAAAATCATTTACCACCAAAAAAATATGAAATGTTGGAGAAATGTTTGGTTCAAGGTCTGACTTGGGACATGAACAATATGAGCTCAGAAAATCTTGTGGCACTGATAAGGAAGTTACCAAAGACTCTGGAATCATAATTAGGTCTTAGGAACCAAACTGGAAACACTCACATGGGTCAATTTAAGCTACAACAATGATAACTGCAATCAAATACACTTCAACTCATTACCTTATAGTGATATATAAACAAAGAATTAGTCATCTGAAGAGACTGTAAGACAATAAATCATTACCTTGAAAGCTGATAAGCACATGAAATGAGCCAAGTATTGCTTTCCTTTATCAGCTATATCCTTGATTATACCAATTAGATAAAAAATGCCTCTTTATAAAAGGATTCTACCTAATAAAATTATTTGAAATATATAATTAGAATTCCACTATTTTTGCAATCTAGAATTATCTAATGTGTGAGCCTCATATCAGTTCACTGCTGCTAGGATTATACAGGACAATCAAATATGAGACCCCTACTTCCATCTTGCTGAAGGAATATACTAGCCCCTTAATCTGATCCAGGCTCTGGATTCAGCTGGAAATTTTCACAAAATACCAAAGGCAGAGGAACACCTAAACTGTGTATATATTATCAATCAGCAAAATCCAGACTGTGGGAAACTGAGGGCAAATGGCCCAAGTTCATCAACAGATAAACGTAAAGAAATCAAAAGGAGGAGAAGCCTACAGATTACAAGATACTGTATACACACACAGTTTCGAAGTGGGGCAGCCCAAGCGGTAGTGTGTAGGAATGTACACTTGGGTGATAAAACTGCAAGTTTCAGGAAGTGATTGGTGCAAACATCAGGACAGTACCTTGTGGGAGGAAGGAGGAGTTGTGACATGGGCAATACAGCTGGAAAGAACTTTAGGGGCGGGTGACAGAATTCTGTTTCTTGGCAAGAGTGGTTCCCTTGCCTTATAATCATTTATCGAGGTATACACTGGATTTATGAGGTTTGCCCAGTTTTTGCTTGTGGTACCAATATTTTTAAGATATAATCAAGCTATTGCCTTCGAGGAGCTCAGAGACTAGAAAGGAGGATGAGAATAAGGTGATAAGTTTCAGGACAGTCTGACAAGTGCTGTCAGATAGGCGCGCATTGCTGTGGAGCCAGTGTAGAACCAAAGCAAGTGAACAAGCAGGTCCAGGAGTTACTAGAGGAAAGGTGCCAGCAGCCCAGCTGGAAGGGAGGGCCCTTCTCCAAATGGACACTTGAGAGCTGGCCTGAGATACCAGGCTGACTGGTCTCATCACGGCCATTCCCTCTGCTCCGGGTGGTCCCAAGTCTCTACCATTGTTTATCCCAGAACTTGTGGCTTTCCTTCTGGCTCTGTACTTGTTCAGGATGATTTCCTTTAAGACAGCAGAGGTTAGCATTTGTTGACCAAAGGACCACATACAAAGTGTGATCAAAATATGATGAATGTTTAAATTCTTTAAAATTACTACAGTATAAGGTATACTGCCATTAATCCTTCTCAAAACACCCCTCTCATGTGAACACATCCTATCATCCTTGCAATTTTCTAAAGCAGTTCTGAAAGTCCACTTTTGTGTCTCTATGAGATATAATAATAAAAAAAAAATACAGTGATCGTTACTGTCAGGTGCCATCCAGTGGAAAGGTGGACTTGGGAAAACGTGGTGGTGCATCCTCACCCGCCTTATTCACTAGATCTGGTGCTGTGCAACTCCTGGCTCTTCCCCAAATCAAGGTCTAAACGCCTTCAGAGGTAAATGTTTTTAATTAATTCAGGACGCTGAGGTTGTAACATTCCCAACAAGCATGTAATACAGGGCTGGAATTCCTCCCTTAGCCAGTGAGCAGAAAGGGATTGAGGAACTTAAAGTATCTTTCTTGGTTGGACTCAAAGACTCCCTCCTATCTGAACCCCAAATACCAGCTCCACCGAATGGATGTTCACATACCTAACCAACCAAAATAGTGAATGATTCCAGAGCCTGACATACCCAAAGGGAAGAGGAAGAACACGATTTGTTAGGCTATATTTCCTGAGAACCAAACAGAATGGGCATGATTTGTATATTGGAATCAAAGAGCAATGAAGCAGATACAATTTGGTATATCCTCTGCTAGCTCTGTTTCCAGATGTTCTGTACATAACAGTGCGGGGAATCAGCACATCAAAGGCAAGTGGTGCCTAATTTTTCTGTAGCAACACGCGGGCTTGCAGAGAAAGCCCAAAGCAGTCTACTTCGGGATTCACTTATTCTTCCCACCCTCCTGGCATTGATCTCTGACCATCTTTACTAATAAACTAATACAAAAAGATAAATAGCACTCTGGAAAGGAAGAGAAGAATGCATTAGAAGAGATTTGAAAAGCCATCTGCTTACACATGTATTGATCTTTAAAATGGAACTGTAATACCCACCTACAAGTATAAAGGGAAAACAAAACAAAAAGTGATAATAAAATACCTCACAAATAAGAATATAGGGGGAAGTAAATTCCTGAAAATTCTAAACAGAGATAAATGTGCTTCTTTCATTTATGCAACCATGTATAAATGAACATTTTAGCCTCATATGAAAGCCATTTATCAAGCCTACACATACAAATACACATAAATGTTCCCAGTAGGTACAAAGCTTTCTCTGCAAGCTGAGGTATGATGATCCCTTAACCCACTCCTAGACATAACATCAAGTATTCATCTTCTTGTGCCAAACATCTGTCCATCCTCAGACAAGGTGGAACAATTGGCAAAAGCCAGCACATAGGTCTAGATTCAGGGGTAAATAGACTTTCCTTACACCTTTTCTCATCCTAAAGTTTATGGCTTAATGGACATGAAAGAGCGTGTTTTTGTCTGTTTAAGGTTTGACTCTCAAACTGAGGGCAATGCTTCAGAGGGAGAAAGGGACCTCAGAGTCCCAGATTTACCTGATTATCAGTCACCTGGGATGCTTGTTAGAAACAGAGTTCCAGGCCAGTCTCCAGTTCTGCTGAATCAGAATCTCAAGGGGAGGTGTTTGAAATCTGAATTTTTAGCTAATGTCCTGAAGCCTAGATGATTTTCATTATGAGGCATGTTTAGGAAAAGCCAAGATAGTTGTCATTCCACAATTATTCCTGAAGTCCAAATTGAAGGTATGACTTTATCTGTTTGGGGTATCATAACAAAATATCTTAGAGCAGGTGACTTAAATCACTTAAATTTCTTTTTCATGGTTTCAGAGACTGAATTCCAAGAATAGGTTGCCAGCAAAGACAAGTTTGATGAAGACTGTCTTCTTGGCTTGCAATTGGCTTCCTTCTCACATACTCTTTCTTGTCTTTGTGTGAAATGGGAGAGTGAGCAAGTTCTCTGGTGTCTTTTCTTGTAAGGACACTGATCTCATCATGAAAGTCCTATCCCCATGACCTCATCAAATTGCATGTTTGCATCTGTGTTGTGTGCACATGTGCGTGGGGGGGGGCTGAGAATCAAATTAGGGTTTCCTGCTTACATAGCAGATACTCTCCCACTGACCTACACCCCCAGCACAACCTCATCAAATTCTAAACACTTTCCCAAAATCTATCTCTAAATAGCATCATACAAGAGATTGAGCTTAATTCAGCATATCAGTTTGGGGAAGGCACAAAGTTTTTGTCCATAACAGTAGTGATTTGGTTTGGTTCCCTCAAAGGGGCAGTTACTTATTTGCAGAGTTCAATCTTTAAACCCTGAGATTTTTACTTCTCACCAACCAAGGGAAACCATGTTAAATGAGGCATAAATATGAGCAAGTTGTGTGTCCATTGATTTTGGCAACTTACAACAAATAAAACATGGTGCTTTAAAATAATCAAAATCAGAATAAGCAAGAGAAAGAAATTAGTGTTACCTGGTATTTTAGATGTTAGTGCAGTTGAGCACTAAATTTAGCTCTGTGCCTGCTGATCGCTGAGGCCAAAGGAGAAAATGCATTTGCTAATTGTCTCTCCTGTTTCACGCGTGTTAAATTCTGGGTAGAGTTCCAGCTTTTACTTACTCCTGAAGCAAACTGCCATTCCCAAACTTACACCCTGTAAAGATGAGAAAAGTCATTGCTTTTTCCCCAAGAGCTTAACATTTTGTCTTGATGTGTTTTTAGCTTATTAGAGAACCAAAGTAGCCACAGCAAAAGTATCCCATGGGGGCTCTCCTTCCCCAAACATAGACTAGAACCTGATGAGAAAAAGAACACGTTTTGTAAAATCTGCAGTTGAAGTGTTTTTTTTCCTAGATCAAAGGAATTTTCTTGCTATTTAATAATTTAAGTAACCCTGGATATCTAGCCACTTTCCAGACATTGCTCAACAACCAAGAACTCAAAAGTCACTGGTTCCCTGATTCCAAATCAGTTATACCATTAAGTAGGTCCAGTTGCTCAGCATCTCTACGACAGGAAGAAGACAACTCAGTGCGTGGAAGAGGTCCTGGTATCAACTCACCTAAATTAAGTGGCAGAGTTCCAGTGAGCAATTTGTTTGCCGTCTCTGAGCCTATTGTCTTCAGTAATTCAACAACTATTTCTTATACATCTTACATGTGCCAGATATTGTCCTGGTGAAGCAAAGAGCATTGCTTTCAGGGCAGACAAAAGGCTGGAAACAAGAGAGTTTTCCAGCCTCTATTGAAACCACTTTCTTTCCGTGGGACTCTTGTCTCTGTCTCTCACTAGTTTGGCACCTAAGACAAAATTAAAAATGTGAGTGCATGAAAGAACAAGTGAGTGAGTGAGTGAGTGAGTGAATGAAACACAAAGCTAACTTTTAAGCACCTTATTTTAATACCGTTCTTTTCAGGGGCTTCTTTGTCTATAACAAAGGCCCAAATGGTCCATCTTCCTATTTGACCTGTCTTAGCCTTTAATCCTAAGGAAAGCCTCTTTTGTTGACTCTGCTCTGTCCTTGTCATCCTTGACAATTACTCAGAATCTACTTCCATTCCTTATACCACTCCTAAAGATTTTCTTAAGTCAAAAACTCAACAGACATCTGCTGAGCACATCACATATCACTAGCACTGGACAAGATGCTGACAAGCACGGGCTAAGCACCACATCGTCCTCAGTGGCTGTCGGTGCTTTGCACAACCTTTTGTGGCCCCAAAGGATGTGTCTTATCATTGGACTCACACTGCTGAGATACCAGAAGAGCCAAAACGGCACCATGCAGTTCACAGCTGGGTCTTACATCAATAAATTCTGCCCACCTGTCACTCGTGGCTCCGTGATGGCCCCTTTGACAATTCTTAACCATAACAGCCATTCTGCGTATAAGATCAGCTTAACTGTCCACCGTGCTTGAATCCCAATGCTACACCAAATGCCCTGGTGCCCACCTGTTATTTCTGTCCTCGATATCGGTCCCCCACTATTATTTGAACAATGACTGGGACACTGATTTTTTCATTTTTTTCCAGTTTCTCCAGAAAGCATTGCTCAGAAAATAAATTTCAAAATTAAAATAAATAGCATTTGAGTGACATGTCAAAGTTTAAAACCATTTCTGTACATGTTATTTCAGTTAATCAACATGGCAAAATGAGGCTCAAAGAACAAATACCTCGACCACAGGTCATGTCAGTAAACAACAGAGCTAGCATTTATGTTCATGTCTTCTGAGGCAAAAATCTCAGAGACTGTCCCTGAGAGAGCCAAATGGTCCCATTTGGTCCAGTCCATATGTTCACAGAAGTCACACATTTAGCCTTTAGCCGTTAGCTTCAACAGCGTTATCCATAATTTAAAGTGTACCCCATAGAGATTATAAGAAGAAAGTGTTCTACACAATTCTAAATTTGTGTTTCACTTGGCATTAAGTATGGCATTTATTTTTCAGCATACTGAGAGGCTCGGTGGAAGTTACCCAGTCTTCTCTCAAACTCCTGGGCCTTGGCCAATCTCTTCATTTTTTTCAAAGGATGTCTCTAAAAAGGCTGCTTGCTTGCTGCCACCCCTCCATCTAGAAATAAAGTTGGCTGGGTTTTCTTTGATTTACACTTGGGTTGTACACATATTTTGTCTACCTCACCTCATTCTTATTAAAACAACCTCCTCCTTCCATTGACCTGTGCGTGCTGCGATACCTAGCAAGATCATGTGTCCTCAAATGGCCTGGCCCATCAGGGGCTGCAGCTCTCAGGCAGGGCTGAGCTCTGCATGCTTTGCTCTATGGAGAACCCAGGCAGCAGATCACAGGGCAAGATTCTGCCCTGATAACTTACCTTCTGCTATGGATAATATTGGCAAATTTAAAATAGCAAAAGGAGCCTTTGGATTATTTAAAACCATATTATTTCAAGACCTCAATTTCTTCATCCATTAAGTGAAATAACACCTTAATCAACAAATATTAACAAAGATATTCAAGGGTTTTTCCAATTTTCGAATATACCATTGCAAATACCAGTATCTCCAACTTTAATTTCTCCCCTAACACGTAGCTGCACTCAGCAGAGGCTGATCTAAAAGGCAGAATCAAGTTCCCATTTGCAGTTGAAAGTTGTGGATTCTCTCAACCATCCTTTCAGTCCCTTCCTTGCATCCTAACTGGAACATGTTCTTGGGTATCCCCACTTTGCTGCTGTTTCAGTGTCAAATGATTCATAGTAAGAGGCAACTGGATGGCAGGTCCCCTCTGGGTGCACTGTCCCTCTGTTCCCTCACACTCAGGGAGTCAGGGAAATGACAGGGCAGTGTTCTCCAGCTCCTGCAGAGTCACCTCCAAGATCTTCTCATACCCCGAGTGCTTGCAGGTAACTGTGGATCTTCACAAGTCAACCAGTGTTAACCCCTCTCCATTTTTTTCCTTTTCCTTTGTATTACAGCTTTTCAGAAAGTTGATGAGGTGAAATATTCTCCAGCAGAGGAAATAATGCAGAGCTTAAAAGTCATTTCTGATGGAATGGTGAAATAATTCCACTACTTTTCTTTGAGTAAGAAAATAATAATAAGACAACCTGAGGCAGGCTCTGGGGATTTCATTATTGATAGGCTGGAGGGAAACATAATGGCTTTAGATGAACAGGTTTTTTTTTTTAACCTGCTAGAGCTCTTTGGGGTGGGGAGATGAGAAAGACGAGTGCTAAACAATAGAATAAACTTGGCACCAGCTTATTTACATAATTTGTATAGAAATGCATCGGTGTATGAAGTACAAAGTGACTGTGTTGAACAGTGAAAATAAAGTATTTTGGAAAACAATCTATGTTCACTGCCCAGCTCTAAAATAACTGAACATTTTATGAAATACCTCGTTTCTTTGTGAAAATGACTGGTGGTTCAAGATCTATGTGTGTATGTGTGCAGTCTTAAGAAAATACAATCTCTTATGCTATTGTTTAAAGTAATTCCTAAGAATGCATCCTCTAAGCAGAGGAGACATGGGTGGGGGAGGGGCTGGGAAGAGGAGCCATTGCACCTCTCTCCAATACAGCATGGACTCTCCACCATTTCTTCATGATTAAAGGCTATCAGGAGGGCTGGAAAAGTGTGTGAAGCAAAGATTATAAACAGCAGTTTTCACAGGCCAAATTGCTTCTCAAATGAAGGAGTAGGAGATTTAATGGTGAACATAACTGTCTGTTTAGCAGCGTGCAGAAGTTTGTTCTCTGCAAGAAATGAAACCCCCACTCCCTTTTGACAAGTCTTCCTTAACAGGCTTCACAGATATCTGAAACCGATTTTAACACACTCTGGTCCTCCACTGACCACAACACTACCAGAATGGTGTGGCCCAATTTCCAGGCTTCTGACCAGTCCTCAGGCCTACGGGGTGAGTAAATATCCCACGTGGGACAAACTTGGCAACTATTAATGAGCCTGGGAGCCTCAAGGCTGTTCTTCCTTGGAAGAGGTAGCATTTTTTAAAAATTTTGCTGCAGCAAGAATCATTTCTCTTCTCTTTGCAGTTGTTGCTGATGTTGGCTTATTCTTCTTTTAAAAATGCAGTTTTTTATTGTTACCAATATTTTTAACCATAACATGAGCTTAGAAAATGTAGGCAAAGTAATGTGTTCTCACGAACTGCTGTGTTTTGAGGTTTTGAATATTAGGCCTGTGCTTTATTGCTTGAGAAAGTGTAGTAAAAAATGCTGAGAAGCAATTAGAATCATTGGTAGCAAATCAGAGTGTCAGGCAGTTGGAGAAGAGCAGAGTCTTAGGGCTGGAAGTGTCCTTAGAGGTTGTGCAGCTGGCTTACCCCTGCATACATATAGAACACACATCTCAGATATGTGCAGGACACAGGAGCCTAATGCAGCTTCTCAAAGTGTGGTTCCCAGCCCTGAAGCCTGAGCATCACTTGGGAGCTGCTTAGAAATGCACATTCATAGACCCAAGCCCAGAAAATGTGTGCCTGGGTCCCAGCGATCTGTGTTTCAACAGGCTCTACACAGCCTACTGGTGCAGGCTAAAGCAGGAATTGGGCCTTATTATACCTAGCCAGTGCTCATTCCACATGTTATTTAGTGTTACCCCCAGAGCCTACAGAAAATGAATCGAGATCTCAATTCTTCCCTTCAAGAGAACCTCTGTATGAAAAAGATTATTATTAGTCAGTATTGTTAGTTGCCAACATTATCTGCTATGATAACTTCCAACTATTTCTCACCTTGTGACATTTATCCCAAGAAATGTGCTGAGAGGACATCTTTTTAAGGTAGAATATAACAAAAATTGTATTTTGTGACTTTTGTGATAGGTGGAAATATTACAAAATCAACATGCGACAACCTCTCTACTCTGAGGCCACAAATTCTGCTAATTGTTAACTCCTCTACCCCAGTTGGTAGAAATGTTAGAAATGTCCATTAAATTCTGTTTCACTCCCATAACCCAACAAGGTTTAATTGGTATGTGTTCTGTGATAAATCTCATTTGGGGCCTGCAGAACTCTTTTGATTGGATAGAGCCAAGTTTCCAACGCTAACTCAGGGAAATGCTGAGCCACGCCTCAACAGCAACCCGCAAGGCAAGACAGGGCAGTTAAGAAAAGGAAAAGAAGTGTCCCACTTTTTAACACACTTGCTGTTACTGTTTTCTGACTTCGTCAACAAGTCATCTGTCTCTCCCTTTGTTTTTCCGAAACTAGGAACAATTGAAAGAAGATGATGTGGACTGCATTGTAAACCAGGACGAGCTAGCTATGACCTACCAGGAGCAAGCCTCCTTGCCCAGCAGTCCTCCTCCAGGGCCAGATCCAGACCAGAAAGCTTCGCCCCAGTCTCCAAGCAAGGAAAACATCTATGAGGGAGACCTGGGCCTGGGGGGCTACGAACTCAAGCTTGAGCAGACTCTGGGTCAATCCCAGGTGAACTAACTGGCGTGAAGAGGGCAGATGTCACCACAAGTCGGGCAAGCCTCACGGAGGACCACAGCCAACTGACAAGGCAGTACAGCGAAGAGGCTGGAAAACAAATTAAGAGCATAAACTAGAGAAAATAAAACCCTTGTCTGGTGCCTGCAGAAATGAGAATTTATTATCAGCGCTCTATATTATGCAACTGAATTTAATTGTTTATCAGCAGCCAGTTTTACTACTGGAGGAGGTGAGGTGGGAGAAGGGAGAGTCAGGTACGGGGTCTGAGGGTTGGAACTGTGCTGTGGAAAGTCTCTGCGTCCCTCACTTGCATTTTGGGTTTTATTCCCTTCCTTAAGGAGAGTTAAAAGTAAGAAAAAGAGCTTCTGAGCAGAAGCATGTTTTGCCTACATTGAAGGGAATGTCCAGTTGTTTAGTAAGTGATAAGTTTACGTTTGTAGGACTTGACTCCCTCTCGGTCTAAATACCTCCAAGACAGCGTGCAGACGCAGGGAAGTATTCAGTGCCCACTTCTGATGGCCTCACAGAACCCACAGGGAGTTGGAAACCTACTGTTCTGGTTGGCATCCTTTCCACACTGCTTCTGCCCCTGGTCAAAGGGATCACACACTGCAGGGTGTGCCTATGCTAAATGCAGCGTCGCTTTCTGACTGCAGGACCCCTTGCAAGGAAAGCTGGTTTCTTTTCCAATATGATGTTTTACCTGCAGAATGAGCCTTCCTTCTCTGCTTGCTTCCACGTCTTGGCTCTGCAGTGGGGCCCTTCTGTCTGCTAGGTGATAAGATTTCACAACACAAGTTGTTCTCCACATGGCAGAAGTCTGTGCAAGAAACCCAGCCTGTCTCTCAATTCAGTGCTCACAATCAGTTAGTAGCGCAGACACAGGGTTGAAAATGAGTGGATCACGCAAAGGAACCAGAGATAAAACGTCAAAATCGCTTATTGAAAGGCATGGCTCGTGGCCCATGTTGGAGAGATCAACACAATAATTCTGCTTTTAATTCTGCTGCATGACCTGTGCCTTTGAAGCCAGAAGATACCTCAAGCCTAGCTTCTCTTGACATATAGATGTTAATAGTAGACTCCAGGCCAGATGTGGCGGTACATGCCTGTAATCCTAGCCCAACACTGAGGAGGCTGAGGAAGGAGGCCAGTCTGACTTACATACAGAATTCAAGACTAGCCTGAACTACATGGTGAGACTCTGTTTCAAAAAAAGAAAATAGTAGACTTCAAAAAGCAAGCAAGCAGATCTAGGTTCCCAGCTTCTGCTGAGTCTCTGTCTGATAGAGCCAGAGAAGGGAATCTTCCTCAAACCCAGCGTTTAAACTAATGTATGCTTTGCATACCACTTGTTAGGCCTTAAATATTAGCTGTGACGGTATAGGGCATACTTCTGTGCACATTCATTTTCTTGCTTTTCATATAGTAGATTTGGGAGGAATAAATTGTTTTATACTCAATTTATAATCTTATCATTCCAGGTAAAAATGGCAAATGGGGAAAGCACGATGTTTTCTAATTTCACTTAATCCTAATAAAATTTTGTTGTTAAGTATGATTGTTTTGGCTAATGCTTTATTCAAGGGATCTTCTTTGTCCAGGCTAACTGGCAGTTCTGGATGATGCAGGCACCAAAAGCCAACATAAGGGAGATGCGAGGGGTTCCAAGATGCAGGCAGAGGCAGAGGGGCTGGTGCAACAAGCTGCTAAGGAGTGAGGAAGTGGTGGTGGGCTAGGAAGATTCCCCAGAGAAGGGAAACTGAGTCACAAAAAGTAGCATGACCTCCTCGTTTCTCACTGAAGGTGACCACAAACTGTGAAGACCTACAGAATCGGGTGGAAGAAACACTGAAGGGCGAAGGAAAGAAAGGCAGAAAATAAGGATTCATCTTGCCTCCATCACATAAAAGAAAGAGATAAAAGCTTGGTATTTTCTTTATTTTGCATGAAGGAAGAAATAACAGGAAAAGAGATCCTCCAAAAAGGCAAACATTACTGGAGGCAGAAATAGAGAAAGAGAAAGAAATATGACTTACCATTTGGAAATGAGATAAACCCCAACACCAGCTCCCTAAGAAGGCACAGCAAAAATAGGCTGCTGCCGTCCAAGCAAAGCCTCTCCCTGCTTAGAAACAAGATCTCCTCCTGCCTGAGCATCACAAATCGCTGCGGCCAAGAAGGGAGCACTGTTTATGCAGAGTGACCCCTAACAGATCTGACATCATGAGTCTGAGGAAATCATGTGCTGCTCAATCTGCCAGACAAGATGCAAAATCCGGTTTTGAGATGTGATTTCCTGGCTTTTCCTCCAAATCAGTCCAGGCCCCTATCAGAGGCTAGTGGCCCAGTTAAGCAGTTGACACAGCCAAATTCCTGTTATGCTCCTGCTGTGAAAGATAATAATTTGTGATCTTAAGGAATTCTCTGTGCCTTTGTTAGCAGCCTCAAGACTGTGAAATTCAAACCTATTATTTACTGCCAATTTCTAATGAATAATAAAGGCAAAAGCGCTTTAGTCAAGCTACTAATTCTTCCACTTATTATTAGAGGTCTAAACAGGACTCTAATTAATTAACTGACTTGAATTTTTCACCATGTTTGCGTCACACATTCACAGGTGCATACACACTATGAGCCCCACTCACTGCCAGGGACTCGGCTGGGCCTCTGTGGTGTCCCCTGGGATTCATGAAGTATCTGAGCAAGTCTGAAGCTTTGTAGAAAATGCTCATTAATCATGAAACTTCTAGAAACTTCTCAGCCTTTTAACAGTATAAATCAAAGCTAAAAATTTAAATACCCCTTTGACCTACTAACTTCTTATGCAGAACTTTTATTCTAGATGTGAGATAATTTATGCATAACAAAAGTATTTAGCAAAACAATTGAATTGCCCTCCTTGCTAAATAAATCATGGAACCATCATTTTATAAAACAGTACCATATACACTGATAAATCTGACTACTTGAAAATATGAAAAAATATGACATAATAAAACAAATTGAATAACAAAGATCAAACTGTGAGAAAATATGTTTATATACTTTTTGATTGTGTATGGGTGTTAGAATAAGGATTATTCTTCAGGATATACAAAGAACTCTTACCAATAAATGATAAAAGAAGAAAATTACCAATACAAAATTGTACCAAGATTATATAGCATTACGTATGTATATCTTCAGTCCAGAATTTCTACTTTTAGGCATCTATGTAGATAATTAAGAATTTGACATTTATATATAAGGTGGTATATAAAATGATATTCATTATAGCACTCTTCTTGCAAAATATTGGCAGGGGGAATAAGATATCCATCAACAGCAGAACAGTTAGCTAAATAAACTACAGATTACTCTTCAGCAATCAATTACACTCTGTATAGAGATCAGTCTCTATGTATGCACTGGGGTGGAAACATTTCCAAGATGTATTGTCAGTAAAATGTAGCAAACTGATTACAAAAAGAGAGATGGGACTAGGAGGACTGGTTTGAAGGAAACTTTGAGTTATCTGGATGTTTGTTTAATTTTTACAGTAGTGCTAGCATGTGATTTTCTTATTCAGTAAAATAAATTAAAAGTTTAAAAATAAAGTAAAGTAACATACCCTGCTTTTCCTAAAAATAAGACCTAGCCAGAAAATAATCAGCTTTGGTAGAGACCACAAATGCCAGCCCCAAACAGCCCGCCCATCCCATTCTCCTATTCAGCGGCTACTCTGTAAGCCAGGTAAGGCAAGACAGGCTGATGGGAGCTGGCATTTTTGATCTCTGGTTTTCAAGGCTGATTATTTTCCAGGTAGATCATATTTTCTGGGAAACATGGTAGGTACTGTTGCCAAATTTTGTCTAAGGTAAAGAGGAGCCATAAGAGAAAACTTGGTCTATTCTGAGGGCGCCTTAACTTCAAGAAGGGGGAAGGAGAGGCATGGTCAAGACCCCAGAGGTCTGGAAATTTAGCTGAATGATAAAGCATTGTCTACCACGTGGAAGGTCCTGGGTCCAAACTCCAGGACAGAGACAGGATTGGGGAGCAGAAGAGAAATTACAATTGAGTGGGGCTTTGTAAAGAGATTCTGATATGGTGTCCCTGCAAATAGATGATGCCACAGACTCTAAGAAAAGTATATTTTTCTTCAAAGGCACCATAGGTGAATGTAATTCATTCTCTAGAGAGAGCCACTGACAAGAAAAAGAGAGTAAGACAGAGAACCGAAAGGTGTTAAATTCGGTAGTTGGATAGAGGATGTATCTGTGAAACGCCCGCTGGAGACTCCTCCACTGTGAATCCAAGGTCTATCCCTACATGGAATAAAGAATTGGAAACAGGAAAGTGTTCTCCACTGTTACCAGGACTGTAGCCTTGCACACCTACTCCACCTCTTTCCATCCATGACAGTCAGCTGAACAAACTGTCACATCCCCCAGTACCTAACATACAGCTATTGATCTGGCAATTTTTTTAATTTTTAATAACTTTTAGTAAACCAATCAACTTCAGTCTCCTACTTTAGTGTTATATCAACTCTCCAGTCCTGTATCATAATTAGTTCTCAGGGACTCTGATCATCTTTTCCTTCTACAAGACATTGTACTAGTCACATCACATTTTCATGTAGACCGAGTGAACGAGAAGTATCTATTGCTCTTAACATAATAGTAAGGCATTTACTTGTCAGAGTTTGGGGGGGAAATGACAAAAACATAGGAGTCTTCAACCTTGATGAAATTGGAAAGTCCAGCAGTGAAGACATATTGAGATAGCTCTTCTAAAATGAAGAATAAGCTGTTTTAATTAGTCCTTTATATAGTCATAAAAAGCACAATACATAATGGCTTTGGGTTTTCTCATTTCCTACTCCAGCTCATTTACCAATGTTGAGTTTTGTCCCCCAAAAGGAGATGGTACCTATGAATGTAACTCTTTTTTGGAAACAAGGTCTTTGCAGATGATATTCAGATGAAGTCATACTGTGTGACAATGAACGCTAACTCTAATAATCAGTATTGTTTAAGGAGAGACACATGTGGTGATGGATTCAGAGATTAGACTGGTGTAGTTGTCAGCCAATGAATGCCAATAATTGCTGCAAACACCACAAAGTAGACGAGAGGCATAGAACAAATTTCCCACAAATCCTCCAGAAGGAGTCAACCCCTTGGTTTCAGGCTTGGAATATAAAAGATTAGGCAAAGCTTGGAAGCACATTTCAGTTTATGTGAGGATGTAGCCCAAATGTCCATTGTCTTTCTGCTATTTTTTTACCTTCTGGCTCCTGGTCTTCACCTATGGCTTCACAGAGAATGCCACATGAACGTCCTCTGAGCAGGCTTGGTTTGCAGATGGTTCTGCAGGATGTGTGGGCACCTCGCAAAAGTGGGAAGCTGCAGCACTACGGTCCTTTGTCTGGACATAGTCTGTAAAGATAAAACCTCACAGAGACTATGGAAAAAGGGAGACAAGGATGTTTGAGTGTGCAGAGAGACCTCTGTGCAAATAATGTGAAGATATTTATGCTCTAGTTAATGCTCACAAATTAATAATGACTTTAGTAGAGGTGAATTTTAACAATGCAGGGGATAGAATGACCCATCACATGGACGCTATTATCCCTTTTCTCTAGCTACTTGTCTGTCCAATAGTCTCATGAACAAAATGACCATGGTGATAGGAACGGAGGTCACCCATGGACTCAACAATATAGTTTTTTTCACTCATCAAAGCCAATGTAGATATAACCACTGCTGAGTGCACAATTTGCCAGAAGCAGAGACCAACTCTGAGACCCTGCTATGACACCAATCACCAAGCTGATCAGCCAGCCACCAGTGGCAGACTGATTATATTGGACCACTTCCATCATGAAAGGGACAACACATTGTTCTTACAGGAACTGATTCTTAGATCTTGGGTTTGTACTCCAGCTCATTTACCAAGGTTCACTGTAAGTAATACTTCTGCCAAAAGTACCATTCATGGATTTACAGAATGTCGACCTTCACAGTATTCCATGTGGCATTGCCTAACAGCAATGAATTCATGTTATAACTAATGAAATATATTGGTGGACCGGTGGTCATGGAATTCACTGCTCTTACCATGTTCCCCATCGTCCTGAAGCTACTGACTTACTAAAACTATGAGGACTCAGCTATAGTACCAGCTATGTAGCCAACCCCTGCAGGGCTGGGACAAAATCTTCTCCATGAGACTGAATGTGCCCTCAGTCAGCATTTACTATATGGTGCTATTTTTCCCATAGCAGGATTTACAGGTCCAAGAATCGAGAGGTAGAAATGGGAGTGATAGCACTCACTATCAGGTCAGTAATCTAGATCTACTGGCAAAGGCTTTTCTTCCTGTCCTTAGCACCTTGCGTTCTTTTGGTGTAGAAGTCTTGTTCTAAGTGGAGGAAACTTCCATCCAAGATATGACAATGATCCCACTAAACTGGAAGCTGAGGTTGCTGTTGGCTTGTCTAGAGTCTGATGTATCTAAATCAATAGATGAAGAAGCTTATTACTGAACTGACTGGAGTTACTGAACCTGATTGCCAAGGAGGAGTTGGGTTCCTGCTTCCCAATGGAGGTAAGAAAGCATATATAATATACATTTAGCACAATGAAGAACCCTTAGGAGCATTTCCTACTACTATGGTGTGCTATGATTAAAGTCAGTGCAAAACTATAACAATTCAGCTCAGGGGAAATTGCTAATGGACCAGACCCTTCAGGAATGAAGGCTGCATTACCCTATGAGCCTGTGAACTAAAAGTAGATGAGAACAAAGAGAAGAGGTAATTATAAAGCTGCTTTGACCACATGATCAGTGGCCCAAAGGAGGTCTCTAAAAGTTATAATTACTTCCTTCTTATTTTGTCATGAAATATTAGAAATATGCTAAGCAAATGTTTTTGTTTCCCTTCTCCAATATGACATTATCATCAAATGTAACATATTTTAATAACAGTTAACTTTATATTACAGTCGTAAGTTTCAAGAAATCAAAGAGAAAGACAATGATATAAGAACACTGCATTCTCTTCTTGAGAAAGGGTTATCATATTTCTATTTATCCAAGATTATTACAGCATTGTGGGGAGTATGACTTTGTTATTGCTTTTATTTGGATGCCAGATATGATTGAAGGATACATGCATGAATG